TCGAACAGTTTTTCCTCTTATCAGTTACTGTCTCTTGTAGTCCTTTGGTATTTTTCGAAATTTTTTCATAGCTTAATATTGCGACTGCATTCTTTCAACCACACGTTCTATTGGCAGAATGTGAATCCATTCTGAAGCCATTTGCCGTGTTGGAAGTAAACGTGATCACAGTTTATTTTCCTACGATTAAATTCTGGTTATGATTTGATGGAAACATTTCTATATTGTGAGCGCAAGTTTATTACTGAATTAGTCTTTAAAAAAATGCGTAGTTGGATTTATTTTTTGAATTGAAGGTGGGCAGTAGTGTTCCACGAGGAAGAGCGCTCACAGCCACCGACCACGTCAGGTGTTGAGCCGAGTCCAGAGACTGAGCAAATGATGAGCAATCCAGAAGATCAAACTTCCATGATCATAATGAACAATTACTTTGGTATTGGTATCGATGCGGATGTATGTCTGCAATTCCATAATAAGGTACATTCATTGCTCTCATTTCTCTGCGCGTAATTCAATCAGTTCAAATGAATCGATTGAGTTTTTCCGTTTTCATCAAGTAATATTCAGTTTTTTGAAGGAAATGTGGAGTACCACTCATATTTACCATATAAACTTTAATCTTATCATTGAAGACGTGTACTATTGAAGATAGATTGTCTTTAGCGTGACGCCAATCCGGAGAAGTTCAGCTCGAGACTCTTCAATAAAACGCAATACGTGAAAATCGGTCTTCAAAAGGCGTTCTTTGAAAGAACCTGTAAAGATCTTTGGAAACGTATTGAGCTCGAGGTTGACGGTAAAATCATTGAATTGCCCAATATCGAGGGAATTGTTGTTCTCAATTTACTCAGGTAATAATCACCTTCATACAACCTATTGTCTTCAGTTCTTGAATTCCGCCAAATACGCGGATCATCTGATGATACCAGTGAAATAAGTTCGCATAAATGAAACTATGAAAAATGTCCTGTTTCGAAAATTTGGAGATTCTGTTGTTTATATTGAAAATTTTATTATGTTTTGAATTCATAACTTGTAACTGAAGATTGCAAAGTGTAATTTCAGCTGGGGAAGTGGTGCAAATCCATGGGGTACGGCTAAAGAAGAGGGACAGTTCCAAAAACCAACGCACTACGATGGTCTTTTAGAGGTAGATATCGAGTGTATATACCTAAAGCGACAATGAGATTACGAATGAGATCATATTGATAAAATGAAATAGTCCTGATGAATAAGTTGATCAGACAAGTTTATAAGATATTACTCGTGTCGTTGATTACGTTTAGTCTGTTAAATGTTCGATTTTATCGCGCTGGATCTGAAAT